TTTGCTAGAAATATCTGAGTTCCCCATCAAACGCTCCTGTGTTGATCTTCAATTTCCATAACTTTTGGATTCTTAGCTTTCTAATATCAAATCCTGCAATTTCTTAGAAGTCTTAATTTAAATGAATATATTTGAAAGTTGCAAGGAGTAGGACTTTTGTTCAGTTTTTCTTCTTTGGCCAACTTGAAGCTGCGATATGCTGAAATTGAACAGATAATCTCTCGTAGGCCAAGGTAACTCAGCACTATAGATAAACAAAATGCAATATCCTAGCACTCGGTGTAGCCTCTGCCATTTGGTGATTCAGTCAGCGGTCGGCCAGTCAGTCGGCCCCTGTCTACTGGTACTGTCCACGTGCGCCGTATCCAGACTTGCTCATTCGTGCACGTCGGCATTGTGGTCGCCTTCATTCACAAACCGACGCAGAGCTGGGAGCAGACCATAGACAACGAGATGTGCATTTTGAGTAGTGTTACATGCATTGTGGGAATAGCAGAGAAGACGGGTGCGGATGTATGAAGACGTGTCAAGTTAAAAAGGGGAAATTGCTTGTTCAGAAAAATTAGACAGAATGGAACAAAATGGCAAACAGCGGTGAAGAAGTACTCTGGTGACGCAGAAGCGAGCAGAACAGTAGACACAGCAGTGATTGTGTGGTCATGAAGGCTTGTCGAAGGAGCAAAATCAGCGGCGATTGATGCGTCCGTAGAGCGGTAGTCGCCTTCGCTGCGCGCCTTTGCGCCCACCTGCAGCTACGTTAACTTGCATTCCACAGGAGGCGGTTCAACTGTTATGTTTCGCCTACACTTGACGTCTTATTCATTAATTTCGCTTTTTTTGCAGAATATTGCCACTGTGGACAAATTTGCATGGCTAAAATTAATTTCTGCCTTTTTCACTTTACTTTTGTTCGTACCCTAATGTAAGCACCTGCTGACCTACGCATAGTGCTTGCCATCAGCTTTTTACTTACAGCTCCATGATGTCTCTTGCCTCATATTCTTTCGCGCTTTTCGCGCATCATTCTTTGTTAGTCCTAGTCCCTGGTACATTTGCAAGTGAATGAATGTCATAATATAGCTTACGACTTCTTGTCAAAAGATTTTCTGTGGACAGCTGAAGCGAAAGTTGATCTGTATTTACCCATTTGTAGTTAGTAGGTGTTGGTTCTTCTGAAAGTAGGCTGACCGATATTAACTCATATCTTGATGAAGAGAGTGGCGTCTATCTTAGAATGATATAAGTGGTCTTATCACGGTCCATGAGGTGTACTGGATAGCCAAATACAGTATTTCTCAGTGGAGAAGGACAAGTTGCAGGCTCTGCTATTAATTGGCAGTGCAGCAAGTAGAAGTTAAGGCAGAAGGCTCGTTGCAAGCAGAATTTGCGTCTTCTCACCACTGCACAAGTACTCTGTCGGTTGTAGCTCAAGGTACTTAATGAATTCGCACTACCTGTATGTCTAAAGGGAAAACCCGTCCCATTTCATCTCCTTTAAATTGACCTCGCCTCCTCTCATGTATCGTCTCTCACCTCTAGCGATTGCGGTAGGGAAGCCGTATTCTCCGTGGAGTACATGTGACACTGCGACTTCTATTCTGCAGACGCTTCCTTGACCCAGGAAACATGGATTGAGGTGATAGCAATGAGGACCTAACGGAGAGGAGTGATAAAGAAGGGGTGAAAATGGCAGCAAACCATGCAAATCAATTTTCAAGATACATGGGACTTGTTCAATGCAAAAGAAAAATTAATATTCCTCTATAAAAATTTATAGTTAGACATGTACGTTGTTGAGAGGGAGCTGCATCGAGCATGAATAAAACAGGGTAAGTTGTAGAGTGATGAAGTGTAGAAGCGGACGTTTGTTAGGGCATAGTGAGCGTGAGGAGAAAGATGGAAGTAGGAGAAGTTGTCGCTGAAGCCCAGAGTTCTCAAGGATGACGCGGATGAACAGCTACGTGAATGAATGAATGAATGCTCCCACCTAATCAGTCGACTTGTTTGAAGGGAATGAATTAATTGCGCACTATGCAGAGTTTAGCAAGATTATT